TGGCTCCCACTCCTATTCCAGGGCAATAACTGCCGAGCTTAGAGATAAGGCAGTTCTCTTAATTAGCAAGATTTACTACCTAGAATGTCTTTGTTCTAACTTCTCAAGGTCCTGCTCATATTCCCACCTTCATGTCAGCTATTCCCTTCATTTCCCTGCAAATTTGTTGAAAAGTCAATAAATGCTGGCTGTCCAGAGAAGTCTTTGTCTTAGTTCCAAGAGAGTTCTGACTTTCCTCGATGCCCAAACCATATTACCTTGTCTCTTATTTTATCTTCCACTGTTCTCTTATCCAGGAGTTTGGGAGACTACAGCTTCCAATAAAAAATATTGGCAATAACAGCTACCACAGTAATATTGAAAAGAGTAAATTAGATAATATGTGAAACATTCTTAGAATAGTAACATACCTGCACAGGGTTTTCCCTCTACATTTGCAGTGATCACCTTTGCTAAATTAAAAAAATCGTCCGTAATTAGATCCTATTATTCTCATCACATTAGTGAAATATTTCTAACAAATATTCTTTACCCAGTTAAGAGAGTTTTCTTCTATTCTTAGACTACTCTCAGGAGTAATCTGCTGGGCCTTTCAAACTGACCATGTGATTTTTTTTTCTTTTTCACCACAGTTGGCTAATCACATTTCTTACATACATGTCTAGGTTTAGGTTTTTCAGTTTTTCTTCTTTTAGAACTTATCGCTCTATTCATAAGTGAAATGAATCCATTTTTTCTGTATTTGTGATCTAATTTAAATCTCTCAACAGCTTTGCATGTCCAGTGAGCGTAGAGGCCTTTTCCACCACTGGGCAGAAGCTACAGTGCTCACAGGATGGGGAAGTCCATGATGAGTATATCCTTCAATTCCAGTCTGTGCTGTTTGAGTGGGGACAGCCCTCTGCATAGCTTTTTAATTTCCTGTATGATTATTGATATAATGTAGATTTCTTTGTGTTTTTGTGTTTCTTGGTAATTTCTATTTTCTTGGGAAATGGGTTTTAAAGAAACTACTCTATATATATAGTTCTGCTCTATTTCTTTATTATATCTTTGTTTATATGGTCTGCTTTTCCTAATAAAACTTGCCAAAGATTGGTCTATTTTATTCTTTTCTGAGAACCAGCTTTTAGTCTTACTAATCAAGTCGACTGCTTTTCAGTCTGTGGTTTTCATTCTACTTTATTAATTTTTACTTTTATCTTTATTAACTTCCTTCTGTTTTCATTTTGTTTACTTTTTATTCCTTTTCCAGCTTCTTGATTTGGATGCTTGATTCATTGAGTTTTTCTTTCTCTTAATAAATGAATTTAAGTCATAATATTCTTCTCTCAACTATTTTGGCTCAGGCACAGGGATTTTTATTTGGATTGCGTTCATCATGCTTCATTTCAAAATGCTTTATTTGAATTTTTATTTTCTCTAACGCAATAACTATTTATTGGGTGTTTTAAAACACCCATTACAATTGATTGATTTTTTTTACTTCTCTTTGTTCCTAATTCCTAATTGTATTGCACTGCGGTCAGAAGTCATGCTCAGTCTTATTTCTGCTTTGGAGAATTTATTCAACATTTCTTTGTGGCCTAGCACAATGGCAAAGAGGGCAGGCTTGTGTTTCGGATTGTGCCCGGCTCACAGCAGCAAGCCATGCACCCAAAGACAACTTTTATGTGTTTATTATATAACACACTTTAAAAATAGGTGCACATGATTTATGTATACTTATTTCTATTTATTTGTTAGTTAAGTTTTAAATCCCTGCTTCTATTTGTAAATTTGACCTTTTGAACACTCAGAGAATGATGCAAAAGTCTCCAGTTTGAAATCCTACATTTCTCCTGGAATTTCTGACGTTTTTCTTACTAGACATTGAATACTGTATCACTTGCTGCATGAAAATCTTTATTTTATTGCTCTCTTATTGGTGGATTGTATCATTTGTTGTCTCCTTTACACACTGATATCCAGGTTCTTCTCATCAGAAATCCTCTGTTTGTTTTCAAGCTTTCTATGCCACTTAATTCTTTTATATTTTTAAGTGAACTCTACATTGATATACAATGTCATTTTCTTTTGCATCTCTTCCAAATTGAATGCAAGTGTATTCTTTTTTACCCAAAATAAATATATAGTAAAATTGGATTTGAGCCATTTGTAATTGCTATGATCTTGATATGTTAAAGGTATTGTTGACATCATATTACTTTAAAAAATTTTTATGCCTTCTTACTATTTCTTTATTTCTTTTTGACAACTCAAGAATTTTTATTGGACCCTTACTTATTTCTTTACTAGCCAGAGTATTTACTATACTGTCAACATTTTCAAGCCACTCTTCTTACCCTTTCTGTAAGAACCGTGCTTCCCTTTCAATATTCATTCCTTCTGCATGCTTCTGGACAGGCAGATCTTACACAAATGGTTGATTGTTGCTCTATGTCAATTGCAGAAGTCCTGATCGTTTTCATCGTGATTGGCTAAATCATGATCACGTGATTTTATTTCTATCTAATGAGGCTAAACTTACTTGGTGCATATTCCAAAATATTTTCTTCATTGGTTAAAAAAATTTTAAACACACACACACACATACACGGAGGCACTGTTTTTTTCTTTCTGAATATACTAACTAGAGATGATAATCCATCTTTCAAGTGTCTTCCAACGTACAAATCAGCCTCCTCTGAGGATGACACACCTGGAAACAGAAAGAAGCTCTATCCTTCAGATTGTGTTTCAGTTACCAAATAACTTGAACTATTTTGTGATAGAGTACCACTGGTCAGTTCTTTCAGGTGTGGCTTCTATTTTCACAAGGCATGGAACTTGAATTTTATACACATCTTCCCTGACTGTTTTGAAGACATTACCTATTGTATTTAATCATTCCACAATAATAAAAATGTTAATAGCTTTTCTCTTATTTCTTATAAATTGTCTACTTTCCCTTAGAAAAATTGTATTTTTATTCTTAAACAAATTTTCCTTAGGATCTTTCTTTTTTTATGGGACTGAGGAACTGAACCCAGGGGTGCTATATCCTTGAACATAAATCCATCCCCTATTTAAAAACTTTTTAGTTTGAAACAGAGTCTTGCTATGTTGCCAGGCAGAACTCAAATGTATCATCCTCTTGCCTCAGCAATTCTAAGTGTTAGGAACACAGGCACATACTACCACACCCTGAGATATTTCTTGATGTCAGTTTTTATTCTTGATGAGTTTTATTTTGAATTTATTCTCATTTTAGCTGTTGTTGTTTTAGTTCTTATTTTAATTCTGCTCTAAAATCATAATAATGATGTCTTTTTATTCTACTCAGAAAAGTTTTCTTCCACCATTTGCTTAGTTATCCTGTTTTTCCATTCCCTTAGGTGCCTTTTGCTTACAGCGTTTGGAACTATTGACTCCTACTTTCTCTGCTTTTCCCAAATGCTTGTCATTGTGATCTCTATCCTGTGATAATATGTCTATCATTCTTTTAGAACTCTCAGCATTCACCTTTACCCATTTTTAAATGTATCCAACAAATAGAATTTTACAGAGAATAAGAAGTCCAGCATGGTATCTGTTTTGGACAGGACCAGGGTAAGTCAGCATTCATTTGAAGAATGAAAGAATTAAATAAATAGTGGGAAAAAGCGTAGGTGTATCTTGCTATATTTTAAAATTTCAACCACAGAGTTAAAATTTCTTGTGGTTAAATTGATTTACAAAAGAAACCAAATCAGACTTCTGTGTCACAATAAGTTTGGGGGCTGAGGAAGCAAAGAAAGAAAAATAAACATTAAAGGAAAACACAAAAGGATATGATGACCACAGATCCTAGGATATGGTTTTGTGGTGCATGCCAAAATTTAACAAGGGACATAAGTGTATGTCCAAGGGTTCAACTGAGTAAACCATCTCACAACATTTCAGAATAATTTGGAAAATGTATTTTAAAAGTCACATAACATAATGATTAACTCACCAATGAGGAAAAGATTGTCAATTTTCACTAAATCTCAATATATAGATAATTTAAGAAAAAAGTGGTAAAATTATTGCTTCAGCATAAAATTAATAATAATGTAACCAAAACTGTGTACATTATCAAAATAAAACTCAGGAATGAGGTGGCGGATGGGGTGGAATAACGTATTAGACAAAAGTTGTTAAATGTTTTACTAATGTTTAATGTTTTACTAATAATTGGAAGTTTCGATATGTGCTTATTATAAAGAGAAAAATCATAAAATTAAGAATGTGCATTGCAAATGATGCCAAAAGGGTAAAAGAACGAAGTGCCCTTAATGTAGTGGCTACAGATTTGAGTAATTCATCAGGGTTATGCATTAGGGCTGGTCTGTATCTAGTAACTACATCTTAGCTGCTACTGTTGAGCAGAGCCCCTCTGTAAGCCTGCTTTGCACACGTGAACTGATACATCAGGCATAAACACAGTGCTGTCAAGCACTTTTCCTTTCACTCTCACTTCTTTCACATTACACGGTAAGATCTTCTCTGCAAATGCCTAGTTAGAACTGATAGGGTTTCATACCCTCATACAGACTTCAACTAAACTTATGTTGTCTGGTTTTCATTAACCAGAATTATGTGTAGGGTTCCCATAGTTTCTAATAGATAAAAATAAAACAATCTCTGATCACATAAATCACATTACATGCATTACTTGAACAACACTGGATTCATAGATTTTCACAAAACCTTTAAGTCTGACATTATGCCCACTTGCCTGGAGGAAAACAAGTTAAGCTGACTTCTTTGTCTTTCCAAACACTTAAAATATCATTTTGTTTTCTGGTTAAATTAAGACACTGTCAGCCTCTTCTACCACAAAACACAGAGCCGGCTATTTTCTCCAGAGTCCTGGTTCCTTTACTGGAAAATGGCCTCATAAATGACGACATAGACACTGGATGAATACATTGGGTTTTATACGTGAAGCCCAGTACTAGATGAGCCTATGTCTTGAGCACTTAGGTAGTTGTACCAAGAAGGTCACAACTCTAAGGGATTAGGACTTCACCTTGGTTTTCCAATTTAATTCTAAATTTACAAGTCTTTAAGTTCTGCGTTCTACTGCCACATCTATCAGTGCTCCAAATGTCGGCTCTGAGAAACTGGACTAGGCCTTTATGTTCCTCCTGTCTGATCTGATGTTGAGCTTCATCCATAGAGGGCACAGATGGACTTTGCAGGAAGAAGGTGAGTTTTCTGGGTTTGGGATTTTTTTCCCCCCAATTCAGTGTACTTCAGATTTTGCAGCCTGAGCAGCTACTTTAGGACCTAATCCTTGCAGCGTGTTGCAGTCAGAGATCATTATGTGGGCAGCAATGAGCATGACTCCAGGGAGATTCCGTCCCACGAGCAGCTTTCCCAGAATTCTCAGTGATGAGATTTCTAGCACGTCCCACCAGTGTAGACCAGCAGCCTCTCTGCTGTCCCATGAGCCATGACTGTGAGGTCCCCAACAAGGAAAGCCCAGCCTGGAGTAGTGCGGGGCATCTTCCACATTCGCACTCTGTCACTGAGCTAGTGATGACTCTTTCAGTCTGTAGTTTCTATATTTCTTAGAGTTCTCTTTAAATCATGCTAACCAACTACTGATACCACGTGATAACTACGAAGTTCTTTTCTATTGAACTTCCCTTGTTGTGTTCTATATGAGCTCTGTGTCTTGATCAAACTCTGACTAATAATAACTCTACTTACATGTACAACTCCTACCTTTTCTAACCTATAAATTTGTCTCCACTTTATTCCAAATGCGTTATTATAATCCCTAACATACTATGTTATTATTATTAACTATGTACATCTATTTACTGAGACTCACACCCTGGCTTTAATTTTACTTCCCTTTTCTTATGTAAGCTATGAAATATGTCACATAGACTACTGTCACTTATTAAAAATGAAAATTTGTGAATGTCTGCATATATCATGTTTATTAAACTCTATATCCAAGTAATAAAGACTAATTAAAAACATAACAAAAAACAATAAAATGCCACATTTTAAATTTTATGCAGTCAAATTTATATCAATAAGAATGTGAACTAAACATTTCCTTTTTAAGCTATAAATTGAAAATTAATGAGAAAGAATATGTTGGTAGTTATAACAAATTTAATCATACTGAAAACAGAAGGAGTACAAATGATCAATAAATCTAAAACTTGATTCTCAGGCAAAAGGAGACATAAAATACATATTTTAAGTTAGAATATATTTTAAACTAGATCAATAAAGAAAATATAAATTCACATAAATGTGCAACAAAGGATGGTGGAAAAGGAAAAAGAATGGAAGGAAATTCAATGATCTATTTGGAGAGATTTTTTTCCTTATAAGTAAAATCCAGCCTTTATCCCTGCATGAAATTATTAGAAAAGCAGAGATAGAAGTGTATTTAGTTAAAATGATGAAGTGTGGTATCTCAAAGTCAAACTTATATTTGAATATAAAATGATGAGTGCTTTATACTTTCCATTTATTTTTATATTTTATATTTTGAATATAAAATGATGAGAGCCACAGAGCAAGTAAGTCTCCAGAGGGGAAGGTTCTCTAGAGACAAGAAAGTAACGTGGACCCATTAGCAAGCATCATATTCTTAAATATAAAAATTCATGGTCATTTGGATTGGGCTGCTTTGATAACATTTTCTCATTAGTAGAATATATAACCCTGTAGAAGATTCTGTGCACTCTTTTCAACGAATTTTGTCTGGAGTTGAAAACCCAACAGCTCCAGCTATGAAACTATTCAAGCCTCTCCTTCATCTCAACAGTTTCTTAAACAAATGGAAAGCAAGGGAGTCAGAGCGAAAGAACTAGTTTCATTCAGACAAATTCTCTCAAGCACAAAACCTGTTGAGCAGTGAGTGGCAGACACTCCTAGTGTCTGAGTCTGAGTCTGCTCCTGAGGCTCCCAACTCCCTGCTTAGCTCTGGAAGGCACTGCCCCTTGCTGCCAGCTGTGTTCCGTGGCCACATCTGATCCATGGGATAGCAGAGGCGGGAGCACTGTGAGCCTGGGTCAAGCATGCCACCACTCTGTCGGCAGTCTTTTCATTAGTTAACTTGATAAATGACTTTCATTGGTGATTCTTGCAGTTACACTGGGAGAAGCAGTTTTAGGGGAGTTAAATTCTCACTATCACCGGGTCAGTATGTTGCAAAATAGGGATGCAAATTCAAGTCTATTCCAAGGGCTGAGGCCCTTTGCACACTCTCTTGTGAACAGTGACTGGGATGAGCTGTGCTGGGAAATGACTTGCACAGGGCGGACATGCACTACGTGTGAATTATCACCCACTCTGCTCCTAGATGCTGTTCAGATGAGAGTGTGTTGCTTCCTCTCCTCTCCCTGTATCACCTTCCATGAGGACAGCTTTTTAAAAGAATCAGTCTGGATGAATTCCATGTTTAAATGAAAATATTGTAGAATACAATTTTACCCTTGAAGAATCCCAGGCCCAGTTATTTTTCAACAGATTGAATGCATTAAGCTTTTGTATATACATAGAGCCATGCTGGAAGATATACAAAGTCAATTGGAGAGTAACAATTCTTGTCCTTTAAGAACTTATAACCTACAATATACCACAGGGATATGGGCTTGAATACACAAATTCAAACAAACACCAACACATGAATAAAGAAGAATAGTCCAGCCTTTCAGGCCTGTGTTGAACAGAACTGCTTTTAACATACACATACCAATTAGGTAGTATTTAAACACAGACCAGAACCTGCATGCCTGAGAGACTGGAGAGCTTTTCTGAGGGCAGGGGACAGTCTCCCACCTGAGTTTACACATCCAGCTTTCTCTAACCCAGAAATGCAGGAAAACAAGCACTTACCGGCAGGGGTACAAAACCGTACTTGAGTAAACCGATGGTCCCCCAAAGCGGTTCTGTTCAAGTGAAGCGGCTCTTTTTTAAAGAAAATTGGTATATTTTTTCAGAGAAAAAAGTACCAGTGTGCAAGAATTTTCCCTCAGGCTTTGACATTTAAGAACCCTCTACCCATTGGGTAACTAAAATTTGGGAAAGACATTTAGGGAAGAAAATCAACAGTAAGTTTCACAGCAGAAGCCAAGCCATGAAGTAATCTTTGTCACGCGATGACAGCGGTGCAGCCGCAGCCACTGTTTCTCCGTAGAGTTACTTCTCATTTTGCATTAAATTCTTTCTACCTCATTTCTAGAATGTTGGAGCGATGCAGCCAGTACGCAGAGGGTGTCTGTCCTGTAAGTAAACATCCTCCACCTTTCTTTCAGTTCTCTGTTGTTCAAATTCCCTTTCCCAGAGCCCGAATTTTATTTAAGAAAAACTTTTCATGATAAATTTAAATCAGGCCAACTCTGTGCCTCTTTAAAACTTACAGAATCATTTCACTTGCAGACCCTCTACCACTTGTGTATTGATCAATTTAAAAAATCAACATCAAAGATAAACAAAGCCAAACTCTACCTCCACTCCTGCCTGTGAAGTGTGGCTGGCAGACTGACCTGAAAATTAGAGTGTGGGCGATCCTTCGGGGCTCCTAGGACTGAGCAGAAAGACAGCCCAGAATGGAGAGTTTCATCTTCTCCTGGTTTATTCCTTCCTGTCCTCCATCTATTCCATCCCCAGGGCAGTGACTCAACCTTTTTTTAAAGTCATTGGAAGAGTGAAGCCTCTCTTATGTAGGCAAAACAACAAAACAAAACAAAAGAAAGCCTCCAGAACACCCTTTGGCCCTTCAGATCTTTCCTGGGGCCCTAGGATACTGCAGTCCAATCTCTACTATTGTGTTACTTCTTTAACAAGTATTTACTGAGTGCCCTTGAGAGACTGAACTGCACTACATATTTTATGTCACATTTATTTGGTATTCTGCTGGTGTAGATGTATACTGACCACAGTCTTCACACCCCCAAACTTCCGCCACGAATAGCAGCTCCCTGAGAGCAGAGACCAGAGGGATGGGAGTAAGATACTCTCCTTGCCTAGCAGGCAGCCTAAATACCATTTTATCAATAAATATTTTGTATATCAAAGATTAGGTGTGAACTAGGTATTATTTCTGGCTTAGAGCCTGGTAAGATTCAAGCCATTATGATCCCTTCCCAATTAAATTTTTTTTGAAGTTTCTCGTTGGGCTATGGAACGTAGTGGGTAGAGTTTACCTCAGTACGAGTTAGAAGGAAATTGAATTCCTGTCCTTGGGGATTCACCTCCATTTCAGTCTCTGCCAGATGTGCTGGTTACACATGCCTGCTTTGTGAATACAATGAGCCCAACTTATTTTATTGACTGCATTAAAACAATGGCTAATTTTATTCCAGACTCCACACAGTGCCACAGGACTGTATCTGCCGTAACGATGTTAGAAGAACTTGTGCTTTGCAGCGCAAACTTGCCAGCTGGAAACTCACCTCCACCGTGTGGACTGGCTCGAGACTGTGGCTGGGAGAAGATCTTTGCAATCCTTCAGTCTTGAATTTGCTTCAGGGATGTGACTCTCCTGTCTGCTCCTGAAATGTAAGACCCGAGACCAGGGAATGTGTAACATTTCATTAAAATGCATCTATTATGGGATGTAAAAATGGGATGTTGTTTTCTCAGCTGCTGTTCAATTCTCAGCACTGGGAACAAGTGTTAGGTTGCTACTGCGCGTATCTTCTACGTGGTGCCAGCATATGTACGCAGGACTTAGTCCTATGGTGGAGAAATACTGGGTCTGTCCCCTTAGCCTATGGCCTCCCTCTACATTGTGTGAAAGGAAGAAATATGACAGATGAAGATGGTTCAATGAATAGAATTTCCAAACAGTAAGGTGTTGGGAGTAATTTTTGCTGCCTGTCTTCTCCTATGGAGAAGAAAAAAAGAAATTGCTTGTCATTGACTTCAGACCCTTTTGGGGGCAAAGGGCGTCTTTCTGAACTTCCTGGAAAACTTAAGGTGAGTCTCCTATGACTTGGATATTAGTCATGATTCAAACACGGAAGCTCTCTGACAGCACAGAAGGAAGCAGGTACCCTGCGAGAACACAGCACCTCTATCAAGGAAAAGTTTTGGCTTTGCAAAGATCCAGCTTGAAAGTGATTGAGGGATTAACTCGGTGCCGGAGTGGGGAATCTCCTGACAGCTCATGTGCGCTGCCCCACCAGAAACGGAGTTGAAGACCAGCGGAGGAGATCTCTTGTGCTCAGGGAACAGTGTATGGGGTCCCCAGGGAAGATGAGTGTCCTAAAAATACACAAAGTTGCCTCAGAAGAGAGGGAGCAAGCATTTGGCCATCTTCCCTGCCCAGCAGACACCAGCAATATCCATAACTAACCTCCTGCTCCTCCCTCCTTCAATCTGCTTGCTGATCCCAAGGCCAGAGGCAGCATCCTGAGCGCCAAGAACTTTCACCTTCATCTCCTTGGTACCCACCTTTGCTTTTGGAACCGACAGGGAAGTCCAAGCAACCTGCAGAGAACCCAGTGGAGAGAGGAACCGAGCCCCGCTGAACTCCAGCCAATGCCCAGCACCTACCTCCAGCCCATGAAGAAGCCATGTTGGAAGGAGACTGTGGAGTCCCCATCGACACTCCTCTCTGTCCCTTGTGAGCAGAGATGAGCCATCCCCATCCAACCTTGCCCAAGCGGCAGATTGATGAGAAAACTATGCGGCTATTGTGGTTTAAAGCCACTAACTTTCGGAGTGGTCTGTTACTTAGGAATAGTGACCGGATGGATTGCCGGACCCACGGGGTCCGAAGAAGCTTTGGATAGGAAGAGATATTAAAGCTTTCATAGTTGGTGTAGTGTTTTGTGGTTTTTTGTTTTTTGCTTTTTCTTTTTTCAGCACATGAGAACTGTTGAGCGAAAGAACTAGAATGTCTGCTTAAGATGTTCTGGCTGTGGAGAGAGAGCTCCTGCCGCTCCCCACTAGTCTGAAGTCATTCCAGTTGGTGAGCAACAATAAAGCCAAACCTTCTGAATTTATTTCTGCTCCTACCACATAGGTCAATTCTTAAGCAAATAAGTTACTCGTAAAACAAAAATGAGAATGATCTGTTAGAATGTTCAGAGGGGTTGGCAGGTGAGTTGGCATGACAATTTAAAGATAAGAAAATGCCACTATATATGAATGAGATTTGTACGCTAAAACAACCTTTTTTGAAAAACCCAGAAACCACTAGTAAACTTTGAAAGTCATCAAAAGACTCTTCAAAGTGAGTATAAGATTACGGCCACTCCCAGGGTGCTCATCTCTATCTGTCTCCAGCACTAGCACAATTACCGGTGATTGCGTGATGAATGATGACAAGTGAATAAATGAAAGGATATCTTTCTGTCTCATAAGATTAACCTCTACACATGATGGGAAACCATCTCAAACTCATCTTGGACTTCACCTCTTGGCTCACAACACAATGAGTTACTTTGCCCAGAGGGGCTTCCCTGGTGCTACGGTTTAAATTTAAAACGTCCTCCCACAGCCCTGAGTGTGGAGGTGGGCCTGGTTGGAAGAGGTGGCCGGTCCCTGGGGGCATGATCTGGGAGGGTGCCTTCTTGCCCCGGCTTCTCTTTCCCTCCTCCCTCCCTCCTTTCTAGACACCATAATGTGAGCAGCTTTTTTCCATCGTGCCCCTTCTTCCATACCATTTCTACCTTGGTACCATCAACCATGAACCAGTTCTCCTAAATCATGAGCCAGTTCAACCTCTTCTCTTTTAAATCGCAGGTGTCAGGTAATTTGTCCCAGCAATGGGAAAGTGACTCACGCACACGGCACTGTTTAGGACCATAGCACATCCTCACAGTCACCAGAACAGGCAGCACTTCGCTATCTGTGCACCAGCCAGGAGAAGATTTAAACTGAGGCAGCTAGGAAGGTTTCTAATAATATTAGCATGCTATAAATTCCTTAAAAACAAAAGAGTAATATTTATTGCAAATGTTATTATTGAAAGTTTCTTACTATTAAAAATATAATGCCTTAAAATTCATGTGCTTAGCTCTTTAATAATATTATTTAATAAAGTTATTAAAGTTATACATTGTCCAATGATTTCTGTCATTTTAAGAGTTCAGTATGTTCCAACTAATGCTATTTCATATAGGATTATGAAATACATGAGCCAAAAATGATCTTAAAGATCATTTATCCTATTCCACTAGTTTTATCATTGGGAAGCTGAATTCCAGAAATGAGAAATCACTTGTCCAAGGTCACATATCTTAGGGTCAAAACAAATCACATACTTCTACATTTCTAGTCCCAGATTTTTTACACTATGTCTACTATTTGTAAATACAGAACTTTAATAAATACAAAATTGTTTAGACATGTACATAGACCAATAAGTATTTATAAATAATGTTAAATATATAAACATAGTTAAACAGGGTAATATGTTGAGAAACAAAACATAATTTGAAAATTCAATCTCTTTTCAATAAAGAACTATTTTAAATCATCTGAGAATATTAGAATTATGATAACAATATAGTTTTTAATATCTAACTAGCAAATTTCTTAACTTTCATTAATTCCATGCATAACACCTGGATATCTACAATGGACTAATGACATAGGGCAATGTGCACTGCCCTGAATAAGATGTGAAGTCTGAAATTTAGATAAGAAAATAGAGATATAATAAAATGTAATGATTTTATATGATGTTGTAGGCGAACTTACCTTGCATAAATTGCTTAATCTATGCAAAACTCAGTTCGCATCTGTAGAATGAGAATATTCAGAATCATTCTCTGTTTAGTTTCCCTGTGTATTAAGTGAGGTAAATTCACTGGAATGTGAAGATCGCTCAGCGCATTTCAGCACTAACCACTGCTATTACATCCCAGGCTATGAGCACATCTGTGACAGAAGCATTCCTATTGGTCTTGAAAAGCACAGGGAGATCTCCAGGACACGATGCCTTGAGGAAGGAAGAATTAGCTGAATGAAGTAAGGAGTGTTTTTGGCAGAGGGAACAATACATTTACAAGCTGGAAGACTTAAAAGAGAGACAATGCACCTCATTTGTGGGCCATGGTTGTCCTGTTCAGTACAGTAGCCTCTAGTCACGCGTGGCTAAATTTAAATGCAAATGACTTGTAATTGAATTAGCCTAAACATTCAGTTCCTCAGTCACAGCAGCCACATTTCAAGTCCATGATGGGCTCCTATGGTTGAGAGTAGCTGCACTGGAGGGAACAGATGCAGAGTAGCTCTGGCACTGCAGTGGCACCACCAGGAGCCCTGGCTGCACCGCAGAAGGACCTGCACTCAGGCAGTGGGGACGAGGGCAGCTGCTGAGGCTGGAGAAGCAGGTGGGGCCAGAGCCCGGAGAGCCCGGAGAGCCTGGAGCCAAGTAAATGAGCTGAGATTCTACTTTATAGGCCATGGACACCTTTCCATACAAATCCTCTCTTTTGGTTGATACATGGTGTCAACTTGATGAGTCTAGAGGCTTGGCTGAGTGACTTAGTAGCTCTGAATCTTGGGGTGCAAAGGACATGGGCTTCCTGCTCCAGGATGTTGTTCATTGTGCCAATTTGAGAAGTTCAAAAGTCACTCAGCAGGGGGCCAGGGTCCTTATTTTGTAAACATCCTGAGCCTGTGTAAGAGGAGGGCATGGAGATTGTGAGTCCTACACGCCTCCTGGGTGGGAGCGGCCTGCTTACAATATAAGGGAGGGAAAGAGGCTTGTTCCCCCTCTTGTGCTCCTGCTGCTTTTGCTGTTTTCTGCTGTCATAAACTGTTCCCCTGTGCCCTGCCACCCTGCCTTGGAGCCAGCTGATTATAGACTGAAACCTCCACAAACTGTAAACTAAATAAGCCTTTCCTTCCTTAATGTTGAGTATTGGGTATTTTGTCCCAGTAACAAGAAAAAAGTAACCAAGACATCGTCTATTTTGCAAAGTAAATTAAAATTGACCTGTTTTTAATCTGAAACATCTTACATAAATTGTTTAAATGACATCTTCACAGTGTACCTTCAGATATAAATCTGACTGGGGAGAAGCTGAATCAGTGAAGACTATATTCATTCTACTGTCAGTTAGGGGCAATACTGGAACTCACCCCAAGCCCACCAGCAGCTAGTAGCTGTTCAAACTACAGTCCAAGACACCTCCCTTTAACTTGAAGGGGTCTGTGACTAAATACAACCACGTTATATACTGTTGCTTACTTGTGGTGAAGTGTCAGTCAATGACACTGGTATTGCTAGCCAAATATTTCAACTAAAAAATATTGATGTCGTAACATGTTGAAAACACATTTTTGAAAGAAAAGGATTTTTTTCAAGTTTACTATCTACAAATAGCCTGTATTTCCTTGTCCAAGGTCAGTTAGAAGTACTTCTACACAGAAAATAAAGCAACCTTGAGAGTGTAAATTGTTGGCACCATTGTTCTGAGAGAGGAATTGAGGACTGCGAGGAAGACACCTACAAAATCCAACGAACACCTTGTCCTTGTGTGATGGGGATCACTACGGCTTTTTAAATTATGATGTAGTCTTTTATTAATGAACTTTGAAATCTTAAAAATGCTACTATTCTGTTAGTGGTGTGCATTCCTTGCATTATTAATCTCTCTAACCCTTCATGTCCTACCTGTCTAACTATAAAACACTTAAAGAAATAATAGAGCCCAATAACATCCTTCACTGCTGAATCTAAGAGGAATGCTACACGGGTACAAGACTAGAATAAAAACATTTCTTATATTCTGAGGTAAACAGCATTCAGATCAAAGCCAATTTATAGTGGGGTGATTTCATAGGGCTTTGTTCAGTACTACAACCTGGCCTTCTCAAGAGCCTGTGAAGGTTACGATGCTTATTCACAAGAGACTCTTCATTATAAATGGAGAGATATGTCAGGACGGACAAAGCGGTTTGCAAATTATTAGGCATTATATTCAGCCGTGTAGTGATAATGTACAGCCCTCAGAAATGTTGAGGATGGATGGCATCTTCAAATGAATTGACTAAATAAATCATTTACTAGCCGAACTCTGGTTTCTCAGCATATTTATTTCTTCAACTTCAACTTTCTTAACTGTGAAAACTTTAAAAGTGGCTATAAACAATTACCAAATTCCTTCAGTTAAAATACAGTACACTTAAATTTCTCCATCCAGCCTTTACTAGACCTAATATTTGTCAGTCTGGTACATCTATTGCTGTACTGCTGTGATCATAGATCTCCATCCCAACTTCTAAATAAGACTGGTTGATTTAAAACAAAAGAGACTGAGAGCCAAACTGAGTCAAAATTCTCACTTCACACTCTTCAACAAATTCCACCCCGTCCTCAGCTCCCCACAAATCAAGTGCTTTCATAATTATACATCAGGCAAACAGGCTAAAACTTTGGCAATGAGAAAGAACCTTCCAGAAATCACTGATTAAGATGAACAACTCTGTACTCCAAAAGTTTGAGTATTTGCACTTGAAATTTTTTTTTTCTGAAGCTTTTTTTACTCATCAGGGAAATCATTTTTAAAAGTCACTTAATTTTTTCCTGTGCTCATCCCATAGGGAGTCCAGCCCTCACCTACTGATGAGTTATAAAGTAAGTAAATCTTTGTCACAACGGTGTTGAGGCTGGCACTCCTCCAGGAGTGTCATGGCACAAGAACCTCTATACACTGTCAAGTGTTCGACCACCTATGTGTACATGTGAGGGTGCTTCAGAAGGTCACGGAAGATTCCACAGAGTGGTGTCCAGAAAAAGGATCCGTGTTCAGTCATTTCAGAGTGTTTCATATTGCTTCTCCCAACTGCATCCCTGCTCTCCAAGGAAGTTCAGAAAACAGAAGGGCGAGCCCCTGCTCTCCTAAGACTGGGGTGGGGGTGAGGATGGGATGGGTTGGAGTGAAGGGGGACAAGTGCAGTTTGTGTCAAAAATACTTCGTACTTGATCTTCTATCCTGTGAGGTAGATGGAGTAGTTACTACCAATCCTGGCTTCCTGACTAAGAAGCCAAAACTCTGAGAAGAACCACTTGTTCCCTAATACCATTATCATGTGGAACCACTCTTACTTGAGCAAAATTCACTGGTCTCTAAGTTCAGTTCTACCATTTGTGTCTGTGCAGCTTACCAAGCTTACTACAGAAAGAACCATACCAACTAGGCAACTTGTAAATGTGGTTACTGGTCAAAGAACCCATAAAAATCTAAGACATATAGAGGAATTAACTAATATTCCTGTTGGTATACACATGAGAAAAAATAGGACTGACAATCTAATTAAATCACATCACTATTTGGAAATGAATTAGGAGGGTAAGCAAGGACTCTGAGATATAATGACCTTTTCAGAAAACTCCATTGTACCTTAATCGTACCCTAGGATATACAAATTTTCACGCTCCCATTGCAACCAGGAAGTTACATAAAACCACAAGATCGCATCAATGTTCTCTCCAGAGAAGAACATAGCTTTTCATAAAATAGCTTAGAATCTCCTTGGGAAACCAGGTGAAAGTAAACTTGAACCTGTAGTGAATGGAGGTAATATATTTCCTCAGATAAAAAAATCTCAGTGGTGAAATCACTTCCCCGTGTTGAGAGGAATAAGTGATTACTCCAGTTGCAATTATCTGTAAAGAGCAGTCACTCCCCAGCCAACCCCTTTGGAGAAATGGATTGTTTCTTTATGTCCTTTGTTTACTCATTTTTCTTAGACTTAATGGCTGGCAAGTGACCATTTCATTATCATGAGACATTTCTTTCTCTTCTACAGTGGATTCTTTTCTTCCTTGTGCTTACCGGGAGCAATAGGGTTCATAATTATATGCATCTTCATTTTCAACCCCAAAGTGACTTTGTAGCTGATTGCATGACTGCATTCCAGTTTCTTAAACATTTTGCTGCGGTTAGAGACCATGTACATTTCCTGAAATGCATATCA